GACTTACAACCACATGATTGAGATCACTATGGGCACCATCCTCATGGAAACTTACACTCTATCAGGGAAGGCAAATTACAAAAATAATTCCAAGTGTTGTCAGTGCTATGTGAAACTGTAGGTATAATGGGAGGGTGTTACAGGTCTAGGGGTCAGTGAAGACTTTCCTCAGGAAGTGACATTTAAGAGTTAGCTAGACAAAGAAGTAGGGATGAGGAAAAAGTGTCCCAGGCAGACTGAAGACTATATGCAAGAGCTCTGATCAAGCAAAATGTTTGTTTTGGAAATGAGAGAACTGGCCAAAGCTTGGAAGGCCAGGAGGAGAGTAGAATGACAAGGCTAGGAAAAGGAAGGCAGGAGCCAAACATGCTGAACCTTAGAGGCCATATGAGGAGTTTGGACTTCATCCCAAGGGCCATGGGGAACCACTGATGGGTATTAAGCAAGTGAGGGACATGATCAGATCTGAATTCTACAGTTTCTCTGAGTGGATTAGAAAGGAAGAAAGGGAATATGTGGATGACAGAAATGACAGTGACTCGAATAAGAGCAGTGGCAGTGTTTACAACACATCTCCATGTTACAGTGTCAGGCTAATAAGATGCCTTCTCACCTGCGGTCTGGTTATTTGCTAACCCTTACAGGAACTTTCCATTCTCAGAACCTCAGAACCTTTGCCTTCACAGAGCCAATAAGGCAGATATGGGAGCTGATGAACAAACACAACAGAAAGTCATGCAAAGGAAAAACGCAGAGACAGTCCTCCACCAGAATTCTGAGACTGGGTCTGCTGGTTCCCTGATTCCTGCCATGCTTTGGAAAGGAATGATGTGCTGATGCATTCAGAAAAGAAAATGAGACCCAGAAAAGCAGGATTTCCCTAAAAACAAGTCATAGGCCATAAAAGTATTATCACAACATAATGTGGAGAATGTACTTCTGGAAGGAATTCTGTTCGTATATGAGAGAAAGGTATTTTAATTAATGATTCTACAGCCCTTTTACCTTAAAGAGAGGGTTTATTTAGAAAGTTTGAGTTGTAAGCTATACTGTTAGCATAGTTTGTGCTACGTGAGATGACAAAGCTGTCACCTTCCTCTAAGTTCAAATAATAGTTATCAATTAATTACTCATCAAGTATTTTCTTGAGCAACTACACAATGAAAGGCATTAGAAATACAAGGATAAATTAAAATGAACATTATTCTTGTTTACATGGAGCTTCCAGTTAGTGAAGAAACTGAGAGTCTAGACACTAATCACATGATTACATAATTAAATTTAAAACTGCAACTGTGATAGATTCTACAAAAGATAGGTATATATACTGGGCTTACGAAAAAAGAATCTGGCCTACACAATAAGTTAGGGAAGTAATTACTGAACTGAGAGCAGAAGAGTGCATATAAGTTAAACGGATAAAGCAGGATAGAAAAATAGACTAGATAAAATGAATTAACTTGACAAACAGATGTAGACTACCTGCAAGGTGCCAAGGGGTCGTGATAGGTAACCGTACTACACAAACAAAGGAAACTTGGTCTGCAAGTTACAGAAAATAGGATGGGCTGAAGCTTATTAATTCCTAGTTGTGAGAAGTTGGTGTTACTTTAACTATCCAAGCCTCAGTGTTTTAATCTGCAAAATAAGAAAATAACATCTATCATGTAAGATTATTGTGAAAATGTTAAAAGCCCTTAGCTTACTGCCTGGCATACAAGTATCAAATTTTGTAATGACCAGATGGAGGCAGTCAGTATGATATAGTATCAGAAGCAGTGTTCTACGGTTGTCTAAAGCTGAATGCCTTTGGTCAGGCTGAATTCAAATCCCAGGTACAATTACTAGCTCTGTGACCTTGGACAAATGACACACTTTCTAATCTTCAGTTTCTTTATGTAAATAGATGATAGACATATCTACCTCACATTTCTTGGTAGGATCAAAGGAGATAATGCACAGAAAGGTCAAAGATGGCTTAAATAAATATTTACCTACATATTTTATATGTGCAAGCTACTGTATCAACACAGATGAATAAGTAGTTATGTTTTTCTATTGTTGTTGTTTTGGGTAGGAGGTAGAAGCTAGACTAGACCAGAGGCTTCCCATAGAAAATTTTGACCTAGGTCTTTGCCTACATATTTTATATGTACAAGCTACTATGTCAGCACAGATAAATAAGTAGTTTTATTATTGTTGTTTTTCTGGGTAGGAGGGTGAAGCTACACAAGACAAAAGACTTCACATAGAAAATTTTGACCTAGGTCTTGAAAAATTAATAGATGTTGGGCAGACAACGCTGATAAACGTGCCTTGCTCAAGCCATATGACTGCAATTTGCTACTATGAGAACAGCCCAGGGGGTTCAAGGCATAAGGATAATATTCTTTAAAGCCTGGTGAGTTCCTCCTAATAAACATCATCACTTCAGTTGTTGTCATGAGCTAGAATGCAAGATGATGTAGTAGATAATAGCATATGCTTTGAAATAAGATAGACATGGATTCTGAGCCAGTCCCTACTACTTACAACTGCATGATGTTACTGAGCTTCAGTTTACTCATCCCTAAGGGGAAATAACAACAGTGCCCTCTTCATGAAGCTATTATGAGGATTCAGCACGATAATGCATGTAAAGCTCTAAGTATCATGTTTGGCACATAATAAGTGCTTAATAAATGTTAAATATTGCTATTATTGTTGATGTGGCATTAAGGTTATGCTGACATAAAACATTAGAATTTGTTCACTGCATGGAACAATTACATCAAACTCAGAGTAAGCTATATTACTTACTTAACAGTGGAATGCCAAAGAAATACAATGAACAACCAGGTTTTAAGAGTTCCTATATGGCAGTGGTTGCAGGTATTTATCTTTGTCACCCTAGTAACTTTGAGAGCTGTACACAGTAGACCTTCAATAAATGTTGACTAAGTGAATGATTTTGCTGATTTTAAAATATTTTTTCTACCTACAAACATGATAAGTGTTTCTGCAGATAATCTGTAAATAAAAAAATACATCTGTAAATTCAACACCAATGGGTTTTCTTCCAAGTTGTGTGTGTATGTGCATGTGTGTGTGTGTGTGTGTGTGTGTGTATAATATATATGGGAAATCATAGCATTTAAATAAATGTATACATATTTAATTTTTATCATATCATATGAAAGTTTTTTTCCACTTGTCATATGAGCATTCGCCTTGTTTTATGAAACATACTTTACAAACGTGATTTATATGTTGTATTACACTCTATAAGAATATGCCATATCAGGAGAATGGCATGAGCCTGGGAGGCAGAGCTTGCAGTGAGCTGAGATCACGCCACTGCACTCCAGCCTGGGCAACAGAGCGAGACTCTGCCTCAAAACAAAACCAAAAAAAGAATATGCCATATAATTTATTTAACTATTACCATATGGTTAGATGTTTACCGTGTGTCAAAACTAATTCATCTTCAAATATATGTTATTTGTCACCATATTCGGTGAGTTCTTAATCATTTTTAGGGTAAACAATTTAAAAACCTAATTATTAACAAAATACTCTATATTATCTCCCTCCTAGATGAAAATTACAAACACATTTACAAAAACTACGGCCTACTATTTTAGGAGGTTTATAAACTCCATGAAGCCCACCCATAGATTTCTGTCCCCAGGGATTCACATCAGAACTAATTACATAAAATGTTAATATCAAGCAAAACAAAAATGTGCAAAGACTTGACTACAATTATTGTGGAGATGTATAATCTCTAAAATATTGCTGACTACAGTAATGTGGTCCAATCCCAGTTCATTCTTCTGTTTTAAATAGTCCATGCTTTACACATTAATGCTTCTCTACAACTTTCATTGAATAGTAAGTTTTCATGTGATATATCTTTATTCTCCTTAGTAACAGAAAGTCTCTGCAGGACTCCCAATGCACAGTCTTTTCTCGTGGTGACATGGTTTGGCTGTGTCCCCACCCAAATATGATCTTTAATTATAGTTCCCATAATTCCCACATGTTGTAGGAGGGACCAGCTGGAGATAATTGAATCATGGGGCGGTTACCCTCATGATTTAGGTTACCTGTTCTCATGATAGTGAGTGCTCATGAGACCTGATGATTTTATAAGGAGCTTCTCACTTCACTCGGCACTCATTCTCTCTCCTGCTGCCCTGTGAAAAGGTGCCTTCTGCCATGATTTTAAGTTTCCTGAGGCCTCCCCAGCCATGCAGAACTGTGAGTCAATTAAACCTCTTTTCTTTATAAATTATCCAGTCTCAGATATTCCTTCATAGCAGCGTGAGAACCGACTAATACACGCGGTGAGGTCTTGCATCCTGGAAACCTATGAAATTGTTAGGTCTACTCCTGCCACCCTCCCCTCTGTCACTCCAAATTATCTTAAATACCATTCCATTTGAGCAAATGTACAGCATGACTCAGCATTGGATAATGCAGGTATTTGAAGGAAAGACAGCATTTTATAATAACACCAAAAATAAATTCAATAAACAAAATATAATATAGTATAAAGGCGGCTAAACACAAAAGTGATGAAGTTACAGCATTAGGGCAGGTTTATTGTAATCTCAGGATGCAAGTTTTAACTTGGGTTTTATGTCATTTTAACCAAGGAGTATCATAATCTTTATTATGAACATACACTTTGTCTGATATGCAATTTACAATAATGAGACTGATTCTACATGCCAATTTGCACAGCTTCTAAAGAATTCTAATAGGTTCTCAACATGCAAAAAAAATTGTTTTGTGTTTTTTTGTTGTTTTTTCCATCTGTTTGCTTCCAAAGATAGAACAATTTTTGATGTAAAAAGCATGTAGCCATGTCTGTACATTTCTATGTACATGTTTCTGCCTGCGGGGGTTAAAAAAGTTCCGAATTATTATTAAGTTTCAAAGAATTATGGAAAAAATGTTTAAAAACAATTCTAAGAATAATTTTTATTTAAGCCATTTCTTTTTCTGCCTCATAGTTACATCATCCTTCCCAAGGATTCCGCTTTGGAACTGTCCGAGAAAGCAGTGCTGAAGATTATGTGAGACAAAGTTTCCCAGAGATGCATGAATATATGAGAAGGTACAATGTTCCAGCCACCCCTGATGGAGTGCAGTATCTGAAGTGAGTGTCAACCTCTTGGATCCAAAGAAAAATTCTCACTGAAGAGAAGTAATTTAGCTACTGACGTAGTGTATGTTAGTTTCTGAAAATGACAGATGAATCTACCCACGTTGTGTTAAGTAATACTTTACACTGTATGAGATCCCAGGAGACAGTGTGAAATAGTTTTAATTGTGTGACCTAGATTACTTGTGACCTGCATAGTCTCAAGTTGGTAGTAGCTTTGTTCAAAGAACCAGTGGGGCCATTAGCATAGCAGATGGTGGAGGAAGTAAATGCTGGCTTTACATCACTTGAGAAAACAATGGTGCTGAAACAGTCAAACACACAGGGAATATGGCCAGAGGATAAAGTGTCCCAAGGCAACCTTTTCCTTCACAGTGAATATAGCTCTAAACCCAGGGAATGCCTCCTCTCGCCATGAGGAAATGGAATTTATCTTAGAGATTTTCTATAGAAAGGAAATAAGATAGAAGACAATGATTCCCATGCCTGCATTCTTCTCATCAGAATTTATGAGAAGCAATCACAAAGAAATCACACTGCCATGGCAGATTATCAGAGCCTGTAATTCAATGAAGTTGAATACAAAGGCAGACGGTGCAGTGATGGCTCTGCTCTGTCTAGTCTTCCTGAGAAAAGGGAAAGAATGGTTCCTGAAAAACAGGAAGGCATGAGGGTAAGCAGTCTTCTCCCTCCTGCTTGATGGAATCAAGTTAATAACAGACATCCACACCTCCAATTCCTAGAATTGTACAGCATCAGGACACTAGTTTCTCCATGGTCAGTGTCAATAATCTCCCCAATGGACAGCAGGACCTGCCACTTCAAATTCTTTTTTAAGAAAGAATAGAAATAAATAAATAATTTCATGGAACATAAGGGTTTTGTCTTTCTCAACAACTTTAGAAACAGGCCACTTAAAATGTTTTATGGACTTTTAACTATAGCTTAGAGAAAAAGCCTCGTTCTCTGATATTTGCAAAATTATATATGATGTGTATTACGAAATGTCACCTTTAATTTTGCAAGAACATCAACACATTACAGTCTCTCTCTGACACGAAGTTTAGAGTCCCTTTGCCTCCCAGACCTTCTGGTGTATTCTCTTCTTCGGGCAAATTTATGGTTGAAAGAAAGAATAAGATGTCAGGATAGCAATGGTTTCCAGCAAATGGCAGACAAACTGGGCTCTGCTGACAGTGTGAAAAAGGATGAGATGAGCTACTGCTGCAGTCCCCAGCACTTCCACTCCACTCAAGAAATTTATGTATCTCAGGAGCTCTACCTGAGAAGGCCCACATGCCCAGCACTGGTACCACCCTAGCCTGAAGAGAAGCAATCTTCAGGAAAGCAGCCACAGATGAAGGCCCAAAACAAGTCCATTTTCCTTGGTAATACAACTAGCGAGTGGCAGAGTCAGGACTAGGACCAGGTCTCTGGAATCCAACCACTACTTCAGACTAGTCTAGGAACCATGGTGGAAGAGTAGGCCCTTGATGTTTGTAGAATAGTCCATGTTGCAGCAACATCTATGCTCCAGTTGGTATCTGAAAGCTAGTTAGCAATGCAGCAACTCCAGCCTCATCCCAAACTTACTGCATCAGAATCTTCATTTTAACAAGCTCCCCAAGCTATTCACTGATTGAGGTGAAATTGGAATATATGCAGAGCTTACCATTAATGCCCTCCCACCACTTCTCTCTGGGCCTTAACTCTCCACTTTCAGCCTAATCATTTCCTGGGTCCTTAGCCACCACTTCCCACAACCACAGTCTTCATGTTACCTCCCTGGCATCCCAGAGCACTGACCTACAAGGCGCAACCCCTAGCATTGCCTGTGCAAGGAAGGTTTCTACGTATTGAACCTGTCCTTTCCCTCTCCCATCAAAATTCTCTTCTACTTAATTCTACTCTCTCAGGACCCTGCTTTGTCATTAACAGTTTTCTAAAAAATTAACTCCCAATAAAATGCTTATTATTTTTATTATGTTAATATGTGACTGGTTTTCTCGTGATGTGTGATATGTATTTTTAAACAATGCTTAAGAAAAGACAGGGCATGATTCTATAATAGAAATAACCATTGGGGGCCCCGCAAACCACAACAGTGATTCAGCCAGTCTTGAAGCTACTTGTACCTGGATCCCACTTGGCCATTTCCTCACCGGTGACTAAGGGTCCTATGGGAGTCTGAGAACTGACTACTTCTTGTCTTTTCATGTGATTGAAATTTATTATAGCTATCTGCACTTTGCAGTCCAAAATCAAGAGTAGTTATTTAAGGAAGGATACCAGAGACATTAGGCTTTATGAATTACTGGTTTAAAAAAACTGAAATGAACCTCATCTTTTTTATTGTCATATTGCTACCACAAATATTTGTGGAATATTGGCAAATGATAACTTGTTGCTAGGTAGCTGTCAAGGTACATTATGGCACTGTGGCAGTCAAACTTTGATTGGAGAAACAGCTCTCAGCTCAGTTTTTATTTTATTGCCAGGATTCCATTAAGATTCCTTATCACCTCCTAGGAGATAATCCACATCACCAACCCTTTCTGAAGCTTCCCATTACTGTAGAGCTGGGAGGTGCTTCATTTTGGTTAAAGTTAAATGTGGGCCTCATTGTAACTTAAATCCAATACGTCTTGGAAAAGGGGGTGCATTTTAAATTGGCTGATTCACTTATTTGAAGAGTAGGATAAGAAAGCAATGGTCATTGGTACCAAAAAGGGAAGCTGACCAACCAACTACGTATGTCTATACATGACCCAGACAAAGCCATTCGTGTAAAGATGTGTTTCCTGCCCACTGATGAATCTTCTGGGTATCTAGGGATATCTTTCTCTTTTTGATTTTCTATGAATTGTAGTCATATTCTCCTCTGTTTAGAAGCCACACTGTGTTAAATTAGAACAGCCTCTCCACTGGATCTAAGAGAGGAAGGACTGAGCCCAGAAGGGATAGAAAAGAGTTACTCTTTTTGCAAAGCTGTTTGGACAACTCTAAGGGTAGAAAATCCTTTCTTTTTTTCAAATTAATAAATGTTTTTATTTTCAAAAAATAAATACCTACACCTACACAATAAAAAGGAACTGAGGTCATTGTTGCATGAGATAGAAAGAAGTGTAATACAGAGTGCTTATTCTCAAGAAACTTTCACTTTAACTGGGGAGACAATATGGTGCACAAAATGGTTGCTTTTCTGGTCTTCGAATAATCCATTCCCTCTTTTTGGTCACAGCATCCTGCATTTCTTCATCCCTCTTCTACTCTCACTGATTTATGTGTGGTGAACCCCACCCCTGGCTCCAGGTTACACTGCCTAGCCAATAAGTATAATAGTCCATTTCCATGGTAACAATATCCAGGGATGGGCTCATGACATAGTCACAATAAAAGCAAATTGGACTAAGAATTTTTCTGAAGCTTTTCCTGATAGAAAATCCTCTCTTAAACGGATGTATGTCTTTCACTTTTCCAAAAAGAATTGGAAGTGGCTGAAAACAAAGAAATCGTTGCATGTATTTTAGACAGTTATTTCCTTTTAAAACTTCTCCTTCCTTGCCCTCTTTGTAGATGGCAGCTCAGCCTGTGCTGAGACTCACCTTTCATTTGAACCTGGTCCCAATACTTACTACCTGTGTAACCTGTTTTAAGTTACTTCAACCCTCGGAGCCTCAATTTCCTCATCTGTTATATCACAGTCATTCTGAGTGATAAAATGTATAGAGAACAGTGAATGCAATGCCTAACAAGAAGTCACTCTAATAGTGTAATAAGAATAAACCTTCTCTACGCACTTCCTATTCAATTCAGAGTGGCTCTGGATTTACTGATGGATTTAGAAGTAATGAAAGGAGCTGGTAGATAAACCCATTGGAAAGATGTCACAGTCTCTTATAAGAATGTCTGTTTCCCCTGGTCTGTAGTCTAGAGGTCAGTGAGAAGCTAAGACAGCTAAGTCAGCACCTAGGTAGCTTGTGCAGCCCTTAGTGTCCAGGTTTCTGTCCCCTAAACAAAAGCCAGCTGTCAGCCTTCATACTTCCTTCCCATTAATGAATCATGTTCACTTTTCTCTTCTGGTCTTAAATATAGGAATGATCCAGAGAAACTAGACGCCTTCATCATGGACAAAGCCCTTCTGGATTATGAAGTGTCAATAGATGCTGACTGCAAACTTCTCACTGTGGGGAAGCCATTTGCCATAGAAGGTATTAATCAGTCACTCTTGATTCACCTTTATTCAGGATGTGCTCAGTTTGCCAACCTAGCAAGTCACAAATGCCAAAGTCAGAAGCAAAGAGCTATTCATCTTCCCTTGTTTTCATTTTCAACTCATAAGCACTTAGCTATGAAGTTGCTGAAGTTAGGAATTTATTTTTCACCTATTCAACAAATATTTATTTACCCAATTGTTAGGGGGAAAAAATTATTGTTACCCAAATGATGTTGCTTCAGATATCTGGGAGTGGTGGCACAGTGTAATAAATGGGGAGTTAATTTAATTTAATCTGTATTTTGTGTGTGTGTGTGTGTGTGTGTGTGTGTGTGTGTGTGTGTGTGTAGTGGCAGGGTGTTGCTATGTGCTATGTTGCCCAAGCTTGTCTCCAACTCCTGGCCTCAAGTGACCCTTCCATGTCTGCCTCCCAAAATTCAGGGAAATCTGTATTTTCTAACAGCCAAGTACTGTAGCAAATCTGATGGAAAAACTAAAATGATTACCTTTTACAGTGGGCAGGGCCCCAATATTGATCTAATCCAGTCTACTCATTTGATAAACAAGAAAGCCCAGGAACATTACATAACACTTTCACAATTGTACAATTAGATAATACTGGGACTGAAATCTAAAGCTCATGGTTCTTAAATCAGTATTCTTCCACTAGTTTGAAAATAAGTAGAAAAAAAAAAAACTCATTTTATAGTTTAACACCCTTTAGGGTCCCAAACAAAACCTTGGGATCCTTGTTTGGGATCTCAGGTCTTTTTCTCCACTGGCAGCAAATTTTTCCTTCTAATGTGATCACCCAATCAATCAAACTTCAGAACCAAAGAAAGATTGCTTTGTCAGTAGCTCCTTTCATTCTGAATGATGGTTGATATATGGACCTGATAGTTTGAACCAGCAAATTTCACTTTTCCCAATTCCTAGCTTCCCTTCCCTGACAGTACATGCTGGCTCTCAAGACAGCCCATGCTGGCTCTCAAGACAGCTATGCTCACTTTTCAGAAAACACTTTGGCTTAAAAAAATCCCATGGGGTTGCCCAACTGCTATTTCCAGAAATCTGTACTTTCCTGTATGTTAACTAGGATATCAAGACTATTCTGCATTCAATTTCCCAACCACAGTTGGTCTCTGTCTCCTCTAAATGTATCAGCAGATTTTTTACCTCTGTCTTTGTTTTCATGATAAATGAGAATGTTACAGCTGATGCTATTTCTCCACATCTTCTCCTAGCAGAAATCAGTCCCCTCTCCAGGGATAGGACTCAGAAAGAGAGGCAATTAGCAGTAGTGGTCTTTCATTAAGACTACCATCTAAGATAGCAAAGGGAGAAAAAGAAAAAGCTAGAAAAATAAACAACATTCAGCATATAATCCCATTTTTATGTAACAATGAAAAATTTCTCATTTTTTATGGCATCCGGGGATGTTACATTTTATTTCCGTCCTAGTTGCACTGGGTAACTGAGGTCCCTTCTGCCATTAGGAGCTACTAAGAATGAATCATGTGTAGAGGACATAAGAATGAGGGGCTCCATCTTCCACCTTTATCTTCAGGGGACAACTCTATCTTGTCAAAAGACAGTGGTAAGATGGCTTGTTTGCCTCTGCTGGACCCTAGTGCCAGATGTCACACAATTAACTCCCCACTGGTTTCCTGTTTACATTTCCATCTGTGTTCCTGAGACTTAGTGTCTTGCAGTTCCCATCATCTCTAGGCATCACATTGTTTTCAAAGGAGATGGGCACAAAATGGCGCATGGAAAAGCCCTCCCTGCAAGGGAGCAGAAATACTGCAGGTTTTAATTGAGAGAATATTGTTATAATTGTGAGGTTATTCTCAAAATGGATGGGGTACACCTCAGAAAATTTAATTCAATTCTGCTTCTGCCAATAAGTTTATAGCCCGAAAACATAACTCAGTAAAATACAAAAGGAAGATACGTATAAATTACACAAAACAATGTGGTAGAAATACTAGTCAAAGCCTTAACTGCTACTTTTGTTAAACATATGAATTTCACAATTTTTTTATTTTGAGACTAAGTCTCACTCTATCGCCCAGGCTGGAGTGCAGTGGCGCGATCTCAGCTCACTGCAACCTCCGCCTCCCAGGTTCAAGCAATTCTCATGCCTCAGCCTCCCAGGTAGCTGGGATTACAGGTGCCCGCCACCACACCTGGCTAATTTTTGTATTTTTAGTAGAGACAGGGTTTCACCATGTTGGCCAGGCTGGTCTCAAACTCCTGGCCTCAAGTGATCCACCCGCCTCAGCCTCCCAAAGTAATGGGATTACAGGCGTGAGCCACCTACAGTCTAAATAATAAAGCTCACATTTCAATAAATTCAAGAAACTTAAATGTTATTAGAAGATAGCATATATTTTTAACAATTTAATTGAGAGAAATAATTTCATGAATTTTTAAGAAAATATTTCTCTCAATTAAATTGTTAAAAATATATGCTATCCTTTGACAACATTTAAGTTTCTTGAACTTATTAAAATGTGAACTTTATTATTAAGTTAGACTGTATAGGCATAAAAAAAATCATCAAAGTGGTTTATGAGCAATACTTGGTCATTTAGGTTACAGGAATGTTTTATATGCCTACCCATATCCTTTCACAGGGTTTAGTACAATGCTAGGCATATAACATTAATGTAATAAATGAGGTATTACCTATTAAATAATGAATTAGGTTTGAAATAAGTACCTAATTCACTCACTTAGGTAGTTAATAGCTTGTACTTATACTTTCCCAAATGTTTAAATGTACTTAGGAGAGAAAACAGAGTGCAATGATTCCTTCATGCTGAATGTACCGTCACTGTATATAGTAGTAACACACTCAGTACTCTATGTGTGACACTCAGTGTAACTACTGCGGTGGTCTGAATGTTTGTGCCTCCCCAAAATTCATATGTTGAAACCTAATCCCCAAAGTGATGACATTAGGTCATGAAGTTTCCACCCTAATAAAATGGAATTACTGTCCCTATGAAATAGGTTCAATGAAGCTCATTCACCCTTTTCAGCATGTGAGGACCTAGCTACCCAGCACCATCTATGAACCAGAAAGCAGGCCCTCACCAGACACCAAATCTACCAGTGCCCTGATCTTGGACTTCCCAGCCTCCAGAACTATAAGAAACAAATTTCTTTTGTTTTTAAGTCACCCAGTCTATGATATTTTGTTATAGAAGCCTGAACAGACTTAGATAACTATTAACTATCCCTCCCAACTTCAGCATTCTGCATTTATCTTGACTTAAAAGGGAAAAGTAAGGCAAATAAGAAACAGTGGCTCCACACTGAGTTTGTAACCCTTTCAGGAGTACTCATTGGTACAGAGTATATAGCAAAGCAAACCAAAACTATTAAGGATTCGAAAGCATGTGGAAAGCCTTTGGTTGAATTAAATACCATAAACCAGGAGCACAAATACATATTGTGCACAGGGAAGAAAAAAAAACTGTTGAGATAAATGAATACATGTCTCCAATTTGTGCATTGCAGTTAGCTGACAATAAAGCTCAAATAAGGAGAAAGAGTAATGTAACTGCAAAATAATGATGTGTGACCTTTCTGCCAAAGACCTTTGCCTGCTTTTAGGTTTGTTCTTTTACTTGCTTTCCAATAATTATTTAATACAGTGCTTGGAAAACTGGCTCTGGAGTCTGAGTGCTTGGGTTAGGATAAAACTGCTGTTACTAACTGGCAAGTTATCTAACCTACTCCTCAAGTTATCTAACCTACTCCTCACCTGCATAATGGGGAGATGAATAGGAAATTTATGATAGAATTGTTGTGAGGATTAAGTAATGCATATGAAGCATATACTATAGGAACTTGTTTGGCCCATAAGAAGTGCTCAACAAATTATCATTATATAGTATATTGATTAATACATTGAGACCAATTAACTGTAAAATTCTTCCAAGATAGTCTTCATAAGTCTCAACTCCCACACATTTCTCTCCCCACTTTGATGTGCTGAGGTTAAGGGAAACCCATTTTATAGTCCCTTTATAGTTGGGACCATTACAATATGTTCTTAACCATTATCCCAGAGTAGTTAAATATGGTATTCCAAGGACAGACTGCAAAATTGAATAAATCTTTCTTCCTGAAGCCTTTTTAACCCTATCTGAGATGCTATTTTCAAAACAGTTTTTCCAACCACATTTCGGAAGATTCTTTCAGTTTACAAATTTCTAACTATACATTTGCTAGCCAAAATATATTTCCACCACTCGTAGCTGAATAAAGCTGATTTATCCATGGTGAAGAGATCAGGATTCTATTCTGAAAATTGTCCTCTTGGGCTATTAAGCTGTATCCAATTTCCAGGATGCCTGATGCCTTCATCTTTAGGGTTGAAGGATTCCATTTTGCTTCATCCATCAACTGCAAAATAGTCAACCCTGTCTTTATTGCAAAGCCACGTTTCTAATAATAATGAAAGCAACTCAGGCTGCTAAGTTGAGTCAGCAATTTAAAATGAGAATTCCTTGACCAATGAACACAAGCAAATCTGAAAAGCAACTGATAAATGGGGGCAGAAAGAAAACCCTCAAGGTTTTATTATTTTATGTTTTTGAACAAAATGGATTTTTATCTCTTTTAACAAATAACTTTTTATCATCACATAATTTATTTTCCTATTTTTCCCATCATTCCATGTGCATAGTTTGTTTTCATTAGCTAAAAATGATTATATTGCTAGAAATCATTAAAATATCAGTATTCAATAAATGTGTTAAAATAGAAATTTTAAAGGGATAGTAATCTGTTTTTAGCAACTGCTGCAAATTAACCCAGACATGATCGAGTGGAGTGATTTAATATTTATTATTTCTTGTGTAACAATTTTTATAAATGTCTCTGAAACTTCAACATAGCTTTATCATTAAGGAATCTTAACACTTTTGTTGTAGTGTCAAAATTCTATTCTTAGAATACGTAGATTTATCGTAAGTATGA